AACCCTGGTGGATGCACTGCTGCCGATCTTGCTTCTATAAATGGTCATGATGGTTTAGCAGCTTATCTTGCTGAAAAGGGCTTAGTTGCACATTTTAAGGATATGGCATTGGCTGGAAATGCCAGTGGGTCGCTGCAAACCACAACAAATGATTCAGTGAACTATGAAAATTTCACGGAGGAGTTGTATCTGAAGGATACTCTGGCAGCTTACAGGACAGCTGCTGATGCAGCTGCACGTATTCATGCTGCATTTAGGGAGCACTCATTCAAACTTCGGACCAAGGAAGTTCAATCATCCAATCCGGAGATTGACGCACGCAACATAGTTGCAGCAATGAAGATCCAGCATGCTTTCCGCAACTTTGACACGCGTAAAAAGATTAAAGCTGCTGCACAAATCCAATATAGATTTCGTACTTGGAAGATGCGAAAGGATTTCCTCAACATGCGTCGTCAGGCAACCAGAATTCAAGTGAGTCCTACATGCTGTTTTCTCGTCATTTTGATATAGGAAAGTTGCACTTAAAGTTGTTCATCTGTCCTCGATCATTCATTATGGTTGTATAGAAGTCTCCAACGACGAAAATTGTCTCAGCTTCCGTTTGGCCCCCATTCTCATTCTCATTCTCATTCTTCTTTCTCTTATTTTCAATCACACAATCTTCCATAAAATAATATTACACATAAATAAAGAACTTTTCATTCTTTTTCAACCACATATTTTTCAAAAAACATTATTCCACCCTTTAAAATTTGGCAAGAATGGGGGCTTAATCTCTATTAAATTGTCACATGACCCTCCCCCCCCCTCCCCCCCTCCCAAAATAAAAATAAAAATAAAAATAAATAATAAATAAATAAAAATGTCACCATTTATGAAACCTAGGTTTCTTTGTCAACTTGGAGGTGCCCGAATTTTGAAGTGAGATATTTTTTCACTAAGGCCATGTGATGATTTAACAAAGATTTTGATGGTTCCAATCATTGGAGACTGAGTACGACCATAATGAAAGGTTGAGGATGGACTTGCATCTTTTGAAGGGTTGGCGATCAACTTGCTATTCGGACAGTAGTTGGAGGACAAATTTTGCAATTTTTTTTATTTTTTATATTATGCTCAAGTTCATTGGTATATGCTTGGTATGTTGAATTTCTTGATTAGCACCTAGTAAGAACTCAGAATGACTTGAAAACTGAGAAAAATGCTATTTTCCTTTGCATATACCTAGTATTATTATCAGGATTTTCCATTAATCTGGTATACCTAACCATTGATTTTATGCTAGCAACTCGTATTTAATGATGATGGCAAAATGCGATTCATACTATAAGCATTTTTGTGCCGAATAGCATTTTATGTAATTCTTCTATAATGCAGGCTGTTTTCCGGGGTTTCCAAGTCCGGAGGCAGTACCATAAGATTGTTTGGTCAGTCGGAATCGTTGAAAAGGCAATATTACGTTGGCGTCTAAAGAGAAAGGGTTTCCGGGGGCTTCAGGTTCAGGCCGATGCAGACCTCGTTGATAAGAATCAAGAGAGTGTTGCGGAGGAGGACTTCTTCAAAGCCAGCAGGAAACAAGCTGAGGAACGTGTCGAGAGATCTGTTGTACGAGTCCAGGCAATGTTTCGATCAAAGCAAGCACAAGAAGAATATCGCAGGATAAAATTGGCACATAATGAAGCAAAGGTGATAACTTTTCTTCTATACTCATGAAATTTGCAACTGCATTCTTCAAACCTTTAAAAGTAAAGTGTACTAGTCGCTAATCAATTTTTCTAGCATTTGGGTCCTCAAACTTTCATCTCCATTGTAATTTGGTCCCGCTAAATGGAAAGGCAAATTTTCCGTCACAGATTATTTGCCCCGACTTGATAAAACAGATAGTTTCCATCTAGGGGAGATCAACATACTTAGGAAATGAAAGTTTGGAGACTGATCGGAAATTTATGTGCTTTGTTTGTGAAAGTTCGATAACATGGCAATTTTTTGTTGCTATATAATAATCCTAACTTGGATTATCAACTGATAATTGTTATGTTGCAGCTCGAATATGAAGGACTTCATGATCCTGACACAGACATGGGATAAGCTCATATCTGCTAAGACAATGGGAGTGTTAGAACAGGTGGAGGGTTGTGTTACTGAACAAAATGTGTGTACATTTTGTAAATTCCTATATTAAGGTAGTCCATTTTTGTTTTAGTCCCCCGTTTGCAAGTTCTATAAGAATGTGAGGGCCATTACAGGACGTTTTATTTGTCTGTGCTTGTTAAACTTATTTTGGTCGAGCTCAAGTAAAGTTATTTTTATAGATTTTTATTTCTGAACATGTTTGGATGAGATATTTGTTTTTACTTATTTCTAGGAATTCTCGAATTTATTGACAAAAAATTATTTTTCGAAAATATATTTTGCGACTGTGTTAAAAATTACCCGCCTTGACTAGATGAAAAGGCATGTGGAACCCTTATGTGTATTGCTTTTAAGTGATTTGGCTTTGAGTAGCAATTTGAATTTCTCATCTAACCTGACCTGAACTCCAAATCCATTTGGAAAATATTGATGGCAAAATGATAACGTCAAAATTCTTTTGGCAATTGCAATGTTAGTCTCTGACCTATACATTTAATAGCAAATAGGTCCTTATTCTATTTATTTGACTTTTACGTCCCTAATCTGGCATTTACATAGAGCTATGGTCCAATAGACATTAGTTGAAAGTTGAAACGGCTGTCAAGTATGCACGAGTTTGGCTGACATGTAGCATTTGTTGCGAAGCAAAATTGTCAAAACATTTTTACAAATACTGAGATGTCAAAACTTCTTGTCTAAAAGAAAATTAAAAAGAAAAAAAAATTCCCTCGATAAATGTCATGTGGGAGCTTAACATGCATATATCACAGCCTGTCGACTGAATATGTGACTTGGGCATCACAACGCTACGTATATGATAAAATGGGGACGTAAATGCAAAATAGAATGAGGTTTTCATTCACAATTAAGGTCTAAGTATTGACAATTCAATTATCATGTTTGAAGTTTTGAAAATGCAAAAATCAGGTTTTTATTTTTTAATTAAATATATTTTATTAATTGAAAAAAATAAGGTCACATTTATACCATTACTGGTCACGAGCAGGGGCGGAGCTACTTCAGGGCTAGTGCACTTGCCCGCACTGGGATTTCGGCAGCAGAAGACCTTGACGAAGGTGCTTGCACTGGGATCTCTGGGAGTTGAAGACCTTGAAAACGGGTTCGCAAAGGTCGTGCCTTTATAGCTACACTGATGTCTCACATCCATTTCGAGTCAAACCCGTATGACGCTTCATCTTCTTCATCACCTTTTTCTTCTACATCCACATTAGTTCAAACTTCAATAAACCGTCTGTGAAAATTGAAGGGCTAGCCACAGGGAATGTGAACTGGAAGAAGGTGATGGTTTGTTTTCCACTTTTGGGCCCCTTTTTTTGGTAGTGAGCTTTGTTTTGGGCCCATTTTTTTAACATTAGCCCAAATTCAATCCAAATGCCCATTGCGTTTTAGAACACAGTAATCATAATTTCAAATGCCGTGAAATTGTGAATACGGACAATCCCCTTCTCGGCGTTCCCATTCCAAAATGCAAACCCTTTTAGTTTTTCTCTTATTCTCTTAAATTCCTTCGTGCTCGTGGAGTGAATCATATTCCGTCCAATTGTTGATTGGGATCCAATTCTCTGGTGGTCTCACCCACTTGGATTGGGTATTTTTTTGAAATTTTCAGATTTTTTGTTTACTCCATGAATTTATAAATCAAAGCAATATATGGGACGAATTTATATTTTAAGTTGAGCCGATTTTGGTTGGTTTATTATTATTATCTATAGTTTAAAATCTAGTTAGTTTACTTTTGAGTCTTTTGTTTTGTTTTTAAGTTTCTATCTTGAGAGTAAGATGACCATAAATAATTAGTTTTGGCTGATTTCAAATAGACAAGTTTTGGCCAAAAAAATCACTGTAGCGGATGACTAAAATTGTGCCCGCACTCAACACGGTCTCTGGCTCCGCACCTGGTCACAGGTTCATAATTATAAGTTACAAACTTATTTATTGGTCACATATTAATATATTATCAAATTAATTGATCACAAATTATTTCGAGGTCACAAATAAAATTTTTTATAGGTCAAGGTTTATTTAATTGGTCACATTTTATCTATCGATCACATATTTTTGAATTTGTTGGTCATAATTATCAAATTTTAATATCACTGGTAATCAAATGGTCAGTCACAGGACAAATAGTTGGTCACATTACATACCACCACCACTTCCACTGCCACCACCGTCACTTTCCGCCATCCTCACCCTGTCATTGTCGCCGACCACCACCATCGCTCCAACAGCCAAAAAACACCACCAACACGACCAACTGCCGCCACCACAACCACAAGGTCCAAAACTAAAAAAAAAAAAAAAAAAAGCAGGGGAGCGAGTAGCATAGTTTACAGCGCCACCTTCTCCGACAGCAATGGACGAGGCCATCGTTGCTGAAAATCGAACCGATGCTCACATTCGCGAGTCCAAGAGAAGGAGGCTTCGCACACCTTGCAGTAGTGCCGGTCTCACATTGGAATCGGTGCCAATCTTCAGAGCGTCGTCGCTACAATGGTGACGTCATGAACGTCGTCGGTGATGAATCTCCTATCGCAATTTCATAATTGTTATAGAGAAGGGAGAGTTTGTAGAGTGAGGAGGAGGAGAAGGGGTTGAATTGGGAAAATGATTATGATTTTTAATTGGGTGGATTAACTATAAATAATACTTGATTTTTGCATAAATAAATTTTATTCATGGATTTTGAATTTGAAAGTCTAGAGTACTGGGGTTTATGTAATTTCCACGATCCATTTTCTACTAAATTGGGGACCAAATCTGAGTTGGGCTTGAGTGAGCCCAGAAGGAACCAGGCCCACAACAGAAAGCCCAATTAAGGCAACAAGTTCGATTTAGTCATTTCAAACACCCCAAATTAGGGTTCCAAAACTTGGGCAACTTCAGCTGCTCATACACACACAAGAAAATACACAGAACAGTATTGTCGTCTCTCACTGCAGGTATGTGCCTTTCTGGTTTTCTATATCTATATATGCAGGATGTACGTATGCCAGGCAAAATTTTTACTGAATCTATATATATATATTTTAATTTCTGAATCAGAGCAGAGAAGAATCAGAGGAGAAAATGGCAAAGTCGAAGAATCACACAGCGCACAATCAGTCACACAAAGCCCATAAGAACGGCATCAAGAAACCCAAACGCCATCGCCACACATCCACCAAAGGGGTTCGTCCAATTCGCCTGATTTCACTTTTAATATAATATATTTGTGTGTATGAGTATGTGTTTGTGTATGTGGCTTTCGTTAAGAGTAGCATAATTTCAGTAGAGCAACTTAAAACAGAGAGCGGTAGTCTAAAATTATGTTGGATTGCATTAGTTGTCTAGTACTTTCAAGTTTCTTGGTAGATCTAGGTGCAAACGAAATGGAATGGGGGACGAAGTTTCATTTTCCCGATCCAAATTAATGGAGGACAAGTTTCAGTTTGTTATTGTAGGTATGCGTGATGGTATCTCTACAAATTTGTGATTTTTTGTGTTGTGTATTTATAGATGGACCCGAAGTTCTTGAGGAACCAAAGGTATGCAAGGAAGCACAACAAGAAGAGCGGTGAGAGTGCCACCGAGGAAGAGTAGATTGAAATTACAGTCACCCTTCCCCCTTTGTTTGGAAATTGGATAATTGGCATTTTGCTATCTGGAATTTGGGTTTTTGACTTTTTCCTATAAATTTGATGATGATTAACTTGAGTTTACCTTTCGTTTGATTATAGTAATGAGATCCTTTTCATGTTACTATTATGTCTGATCTGAACTGTTAGTTTTCTTGTCCAATGCCGGTTGGAAATTCACATGAGCATCTTTTCATCAATTATGACCCTTTTTTTTATTATTAGTTATTCGCTTGTTTATGTTATGCAACCTGGTATTTGCACGTGATTTTGCATGAGAATACTGCGAAGGAAAAAAAGTTAAAAGTACATTATCTGATCCTATCTAGCACTTTGAATGAAACATGTCTAACATGAATGGCTTAGAACTATCAGTTTTGTGAATATTTTTCTCATTTTGATGACTGTTGTATTTATCCTGAAAGTTTGTGGAGTGCTCTGGAATGTTTCTGGGTTGGATATTTATGATTCAGGTGTTTGTATAATGCCCTATTCCATATATTGGCTGTGTATATTTCTTTCATGTGATGTAGTTTTGTGTTCTCATGTGCATAGTTGTGAGAAGAGATCTAAAACGGGCACTTCAGTGAGCCATCTGTAGCATCATAAGTCGGACCTCCCTTTTGTGTCTCACCTTGGCCTCACTCTTTGTTTTGATTTAAAGGCTTATTCCTCTCATTCTACTTTCTAGGAACCACTTCATCGTGCTTTGCCTCTGGTTTGTTTTGGGGGTCAATGCATATGATGAGAAGTGGTTGGAAAGCTTGTATATGCATATTCCTCCAGGCATACTTAGACTGTATTCTTGAGTTTTTGGATCAAACTGGTCTGGAGAGGCACTGGATACTGTTTGAAACTCCACTCAGACATTGAGAATGATTTGTTAGTCCTAGTTACTCGGAATTGTTCAATACGTAATCATCATACTATGAAGTTTCTAATTCACAAATCAGATTCTCGTTGACTAGATGATGTTAATTTTTCAACGAGGTTCTGAGAAGTGCGTCACTCTTCCATGGTGGGTTTAAAACATGTTTGGTCACTTAGCTCTGTCCGGTTTTAGCCATTGAACTTCATTTTCTTGCAAATGAAGAAAATGCATTTTTTGTCCCAAGTATACAGAAGAATATGGTGTCGGAAACGTTCAGCAGCAGCCGCCTTTGGCTTGGACCGGCACTGGCACTCCTTATGATGGCTTGTCGACCAGTAACAGCAGTGGTGTACATTCAGGGGTATCTCTACAAATTTGTGATTTTTTGTGTTGTGTATTTATAGATGGACCCGAAGTTCTTGAGGAACCAAAGGTATGCAAGGAAGCACAACAAGAAGAGCGGTGAGAGTGCCACCGAGGAAGAGTAGATTGAAATTACAGTCACCCTTCCCCCTTTGTTTGGAAATTGGATAATAGGCATTTTGCTATCTGGAATTTGGGTTTTTGACTTTTTCCTATAAGTTTGATGATGATTAACTTGAGTTTACCTTTCGTTTGATTATAGTAATGAGATCCTTTTCATGTTACTATTATGTCTGATCTGAACTGTTAGTTTTCTTGTCCAATGCCGGTTGGAAATTCACATGAGCATCTTTTCATCAATTATGACCCCTTTTTTTATTATTAATTATTCACTTGTTTATGTTATGCAACCTGGTATTTGCACGTGATTTTGCATGAGAATACTGCGAAGGAAAAAAAGTTAAAAGTACATTATCTGATCCTATCTAGCACTTTGAATGAAACATGTCTAACATGAATGGCTTAGAACTATCAGTTTTGTGAATATTTTTCTCATTTTGATGACTGTTGTATTTATCCTGAAAGTTTGTGGAGTGCTCTGGAATGTTTCTGGGTTGGATATTTATGATTCAGGTGATTGTATAATGCCCTATTCCATATATTGGCTGTGTATATTTCTTTCATGTGATGTAGTTTTGTGTTCTCATGTGCATAGTTGTGAGAAGAGATCTAAAACGGGCACTTCAGTGAGCCATCTGTAGCATCATAAGTCGGACCTCCCTTTTGTGTCTCACCTTGGCCTCACTCTTTGTTTTGATTTAAAGGCTTATTCCTCTCATTCTACTTTTTAGGAACCACTTCATCGTGCTTTGCCTCTGGTTTGTTTTGGGGATCAATGCATATGATGAGAAGTGGTTGGAAAGCTTGTATATGCATATTCCTCCAGGCGTACTTAGACTGTATTCTTGAGTTTTTGGATCAAACTGGTCTGGAGAGGCACTGGATACTGTTTGAAACTCCACTCAGACATTGAGAATGATTTGTTAGTCCTAGTTACTTGGAATTGTTCAATACGTAATCATCATACTATGAAGTTTCTAATTCACAAATCAGATTCTCGTTGACTAGATGATGTTAATTTTTCAACGAGGTTCTGAGAAGTGCGTCACTCTTCCATGGTGGGTTTAAAACATGTTTGGTCACTTAGCTCTGTCCGGTTTTAGCCATTGAACTTCATTTTCTTGCAAATGAAGAAAATGCATTTTTTGTCCCAAGTATACAGAAGAATATGGTGTCGGAAACGTTCAGCAGCAGCCGCCTTTGGCTTGGACCGGCACTGGCACTCCTTATGATGGCTTGTCGACCAGTAACAGCAGTGGTGTACATTCAGGGGCCTCGTATTCTGGAGGGTGTTCCTCTAACAATGCTGAGATGCAGCTAGTTTGCTTGGGAAGAAGATTATCTGGAAAGGTATGATCATCGGATGGATTATCTGAATACGATAAAGTTATATACGTCATAATTTCAGTAAATATGAATGAAAATTACACCCGCTTCCTGACCGATGCTAATTCTGGGTAGAATACCAGAATTCATACTCACATTAGGCCTTGAAGGGTAATCCCGAAAAACTGCGACCCATGCAACTTGTCAAATAAATACGTGCAAGGCCTTCAACAATGATCTTGAAAAGCCCTTATCTCGAATTGTACTTGATGTCAATCGTACCATGACCTATCTATGTGAATTCTAATCTTAGAATCAAGTCCACGGTAGGCTATCTTGGAGATGGCAGTGCACCTAAGTCTTTGTTCGTCTTTCATTAAAATAGGAAAATGTGTTTTGTATTAGTGAATTTTTTAAGAATGTTTGGTTAAAAAATAGGATTTTTTTTTGAATTTATGTGCAAAATATGTGGGTGAAAATAAGCCCCTGTTCGTGAAAAATATGATCGTTGTCTGTTACATCAAGTCATCAAATTTGAATTTCATTTTATTGTGTGGGGTTCATAATGACTATATTTTTCATTCTCATTTTTACAAAAAGTGGAAACTAACGCCCTCTAAATTTGAGAAAGAGTTTTGAAATGACGGTTGGGGGCTTAATATCCTCTTATTAGCTCTTGTTTGGGTAAGTTCATCAAGAACTTTTTAAGAGAAATAATATCGTGTTGTACGAAATGTGGGGATTGTAAATTGGGCAGTACTTATGAATGTATATGATTGAAATTAATATTGGACTTTGGATAAAAAAAATTATAATTAATTTTTTAACTCAAACACACGCTAAGTAAACTTATTAATAGGTTGACTTTTTACTCTTATCCAAAATAAACTAAAGTGGTTGCTTTGATAGTAGAACTGTATTGACAAATCAAAATGAAATGAAGTTTGCAGAACTAAAGGGCCTGCTTGGGATGTAAAAATTCACAATGGATTTGTCCTTCAAGTTGTAGGTTGCTTTCTACCACATAGTTTCAAGCGAAGCTTTACCTTAGAGAATTGATTTTTTTTAAGGTATTTCTTTTGAGCGAATATGAGTAAAATGATCTTAAGTGATTTTAGTAGCGATTTTTCCAACTCATACTAAAGAGTTGATTAAGATCCCATTTGACCCTCATTTTTTATTAAATTTTAATAGTTGGAATAACGTTTTTTTTTTTTTTTAATGTGTGGTTGAAAGAGAATGAAATTTTTTTAATTTGCGTGTAATATTATTTTATAATGTGTGGTTGAAAATAAGAGAGAGAAAGAATGAGAAGGAGAATGGAGGCCAAACATAGGCTAAAGTAAATATTCTAAATTTTTTTAAAAGAATTAAATTATATATATCTCCCTTTATGAAATTATCAATTTATAACTTTTTACATGAAATTTTTTTACTCACAAGTAATGTATTACTTATAAATAATTTTTTACATATAAATTAATATTTAAGTAAATATATCTAAAAACATTAAAGTAAATATCAAAAGAAATTGCCATTTTGGAGTTTTATCAACAATTTACTTGTGGAGGTGGAGATCTGTAAATAGGGTACCGATTCGATCCGAGCTCTCTTATTGAATTGCTCATTCAATGAGTATTTTCAATATTATGTCTTGAAGAGGATTCGAACCTCCACGCTCGAACTCTTATTATGGAAATAAGTTGGGGCCGTTTCACTTCGAGTTCCTTCCTTTGTAGCCAATATGATGATAAGCTTTGGCGATGTTACCTACCAAATAAAAGACATACTAGGTGATTGAAATCGCTCAAGTCAGTGAGGACTAATTTTAATTTTTAAACGTAAGTAAATTTCCATCTTATTAGAAGTATTTTTACTTTATAAACAAATTTTTACATAAAAGTGATTTTAATCTTATAATTAATTTTTTTTACTTATAATTAAAAATTTATTTATAAAATAATTTTTTATAAGTTTAGTTTTAAACAAAATATGTTGATTGGAAATAATTGTGTTATAAAGGCTAAAATTGGAATATAATACGAGAAACAATCCAAATTCATTGATTTGGTGAATTAAGAGAAACAATCAAAATTGTATTAAGCGGATTTGAGTGATTTAAAGATCACCTAAAATCGATGTCCAAAATAATAGCAAATACCGATTTTTTTAATAACTTATAAGCGGTGCCACCCAAAAGATCAAAATCGATGGGAAAAAATTTACTCCAAGCATGACCCAAAAAAAAATGCCCTCTGTTCAAGCCTTTCCCTAATATTTCCATGTTTCTTGGAGAGAATTGGCTGATCTGGTCCAATATTGACCCTTCTTCACTTCACTTTCCTTATAATAATGCAAGCCTTTCTCGCTCGGCCTAGTTTGATCACCATACTCGACACATGGCAAAGCAGCCGCAGGTGATCAGTGATCTAAGGGCAAAAATAACTCCACGTCGTGATACAAAGTATCGCCACGAAGTTCTCATTATGGTTTCAAAGATACACGCGTCCTCTCCCACCTAGTCTCCAGAACTTCCCGTTTCTCTCGCCGACAATAAGTGACATCTCTCTCTATTCTTCTACTGTCAATTTTCTTGAAACTGGGTAGTGTATACCTTTTTTCTCTGTTGAAACTCGTGTAAAAATGAGTAGCACCAATTTGGAAACTCGCTCGCTTCTTGATGAACTTAGCAGCTTTGAAAAGGGAGGATTTTTTGATCTTGGCTACCCTCTCCTTAACCGGATTGCTGAAAGTTTCGTCAAAGCAGCTGGGGCAAGTCTATTTACACACTAAATACACTGTTATGCACGTAGCAGACGTGTGTGCACATGCATGTTTATGTGGAAAGTTCTGATTTTTATGCTTTGCTAATTGTGTGCAGATTGGAGCTATTCAAGCCGTGTCGCGGGAAGCCTATTTCGTTGCTCTTGAAAGTATTTTTATTTTTATTTTTTTTATTATGGTCTATCTCTTTTTAATTACTAGTTGGTTTTGTGGGTAATTAGTTTAATTTTTGGGTTCTTGATGAGATTTGAGGTGGAATGTGATTGATCAGGTGCAAGTGGAAATGCTGGAATTCATCCAGAGGTTGGGGGCGCGAAGAAACATGGTAGATTGCCTGGACTTAGAGGTACAAATAGGATAATATTTACTTCGTTTTATTGAATTCAGGGCATGTATTGACCTATTATTGAAACGGATAGGATAATGTAAGGAATATGAAGAGCATAATTCTTTTTTTTACATTTGTGTGATACTCAATCTTCCTTACCAAACATTTCCTATTTGTGTTCTGGATGTGGAGGCACTGCAATATGGTTTACTGTAACATTTACCACACAGCAAGAACGTCCAAGCATTCCTAAATTTGATCGAATGGCCTAATAAGCAATCACGTGAATTTGAAAACTGAAGGGTTTAAATCAATTTGATTGTAGTACAATTTTTCTAATTCATTAGTTATAGAAACAAGTTCAGGGGAGATAATTGTAGTTAGACACAGGCGATTTTGAAAAAAATTACAGACTCAATTAGAAAACTTTACCAGTATTTATTGAAGGTGATTTGAAGAAAATTTCCCCTCAAAGTTATCTCAAGACTCTGGGCTTATACCATTTTTTATTGTTCCCTCTTTAAGAAAGATGAAAATAACTAAATTTTGTGGCAATCCAAAGCTCTTGAGTTACTTGAATTTGGTGTATTATTGCCTACATCTATTCATGTAGGATCAAGCCATGACTGTTTGGTTGAAATCCTTTTGGCTGTGAAGTAATATGTGATGGGAGATTTAAGACACAATTATTCTTGTCTGCAAGTAAAATGTCTTATTGGAGAGGTCATATAATTTATAACAGTTTATCATGGAGGCAGGTGTTTATAATGAGAACTATGTAATGCTACGTGATATGTTTCGGGTAAGAAGTGGTAGAAGCCTGACCATCTATTTTCTTTTCTTGAGCTTTGCATCATGTGTGTATAAATGCATATGCAACTATGGAAAAATAGTGTGTGTATGTTGGCTGTGATTATATAAGTTCTGCTAATGGAATGCACCACAATGTAAAAGAACTCATAAATCTACCGGTGTTATATTTTGTGATATGTCTTAGCTGAATATATTGCACTTGTCGGAGTCTATGTTGACCATTTTTCTTTTGTAATATGAGTTATATTGTTATACTTTCAGCACATTGTCTGCAGCGAATGCACTGTGAACATGATTTGACATGTAAATAGTAATTGATGGTCGTATGTAATAATTCTTCACACATTTTGCAGGAGAAACAAACAGGAACTCAGTTGAGGCTTTGGTAAGCCTAAATCTCATCCTGCAGAATTTTCTTAAGTACTATAATTCATCATCTGTGAAAAGAGGGTTAGAAGTAGGTCAATAGATGCTGCACTTGCTTGTAGGCGCAGGTCATTGGTCACATATAGTAGGTGTCTTAGGAATGGGTCAAATAAATGACTAAAATTCCAAAAATAATTATGAAAAAAACGAAAGTTAACATGATGAGATGCTCTTAATTTGAAATAATTACACACTAAATTTACATGGAACATCCCTCTGGTTTGAGGAGGAAAAATGTGTGGCATAATCAAAGTAACCATTATAATTACAACTTACCATAACTTAGGTACTTCTGCCGAATCTTGAGTTAATTGCCAATTGAAAAATACATTGTTTCTCCTGAGTCTGGAAATAACTCTTCATCTCTAAAGATATGCACAAGCACAAAATTGCCAAAGGAACCCAAAAATGTTGTTAAGAATTCACCACTGGTCGATTTTCAAAGTTTTATCTTGAAAACAGGCTAGGTACCCTTGTTTAAAACTCTGAGATCATTTCTTACTGAGAGTATCTCTTCTGACTGGACACCTCTGTAGAGAAGGAATGTGTAATAAGGTAGGGATACTCATTAGAGGCATAGTCATTGATTGTTGTGACAGTCTTAAAAACTTGTTATATTGAATTACAATATTAACTAGAGATCTTTGGCTAAAGCATGAGTCACATACAAAAACAAAACTCACAAAACCACTATTTGGTAACTAGACAAAACCTTTTGCTTAGTTATTTGGGGGAAAAACTCCCCCAAGCAGTATATATTTTATCACTATGGAAGTCCCTCCATGATATATGAGTGAAGTCTTCATTTCGTAACAGGCTGAAAGTTTTTTTTCCCTTTCCGTCTTTATTTGCTGCCAAAATTTAATCTAGTGTGGCTTGATCATGGTACTTGCCATGTATCCTTAATCACATGGTTTAATGCTTTAGTTATATGGGTGCTAGTCTCTTCTGACAATGGACATGTTGTTTGCTAATTCACTTGTTTTTGCTTTAGTGATTTTTCCACTATTTTATGATATAGCACAATTAATGCGCTGTAGCTACTATGATATTAGGTGAAGAGCACCGGAAAAGAATCTTTGCAATGGGGTAAGTCTTTATATGAACACGAGTTCTTATTCGTTTTAGAGTTGAGTTTTTACTTCAAAGGTTTTGACAGGATGCTTCTCATTTTTCATTTTTGATGTGGTGGTTAAAATGTGATCTTCCCCCGTTTTCTTTGACCTTTTCCTCGGGGGGGGGGTTGGGGGTGGGGGCCGAGTGTATATGCATTTGTGCATATGGTTTGCTAATATGATGCCCAAAAGTTTCCATTAATTTACCTTTTGGGTTATGCGCTGTGGGTCGACCAACGTTGACTGGAGGTGCATCCACATCAATTCATCTTGAATTTGGTGCTATCAAAAGACCTAACTTCAATTGACTTGAAAATCCGATCACTCATCTTCAATTTAGTGCAATCAAGTCACTCAACTTTGATTTGTTTGCAGATGTGAACACCTTAACTACTTTCAGTATAACTAACGAAATATGTTTGACCTTAATGTTAACAACAATGAACAGTTGACACGTATAAAAAGTATTTTAAGACATGTTATATGCTTTGTTGTGTGACATAGACACTTTGTAGCTCGGACACTTCAATTAGACTAACGTGTCCGTGTCGGACACTTGTCGATATTGACGTTCGTCGGACACTCTACCATAAACATTTTTCATTCTTTATTAAAAATATTATATAATTTTAAATCAAAGTTATTAGTAAAGACATATATGGTAGTCATGTGTTAGTTTTTATGTTATGGTTAGCCTGTTAATTTGTAAAATTGATTGGACAATTAATATAATGACTTGATTTGCAAGCAAGTCGAAGTTGGGTAACTTGATTGCTCCAATGAAGACGAGTGACTAGTTTCATAAGCAAATCGAAGTAGGGTGATCTGATTACACCAAATTGAAAATGCATGACTGGTGTATTTGACCCCCCCCCTTTTTTTGGCAGGACTAGCTGCTGGGATGTATTCGGGTCTTACCTATGGACTGAAAGAGGCCCGTGGAATCCACGATTGGGTAAATTTTTGCATTGTTTTGTTAATTGAATATGAACACGAGGCATGATCTGGGAGATATTTTTTCTCATGTCGTGCAGAAAAATAGTGCATTGGCTGGAGCAATAACCGGAGCAGCATTGGCTTTGACATCGGAGGATCACTCTCATGAGCAGGTGGTGCAATGTGCGATAACAGGGGCAGCTATCTCCACAGCTGCTAATCTCCTCACAGGGATATTCTAAGTTGCCATTGAGGACGTGTGTAGGTTGTCCTCTATCTTTTTATGATCTAAGATGCACACTGAGATGTAATTTCTTTAGAACAAAAACCTCTTTAAACTATGATCTCTTGGTTGCTTGAACTTTGGATGCTTAGAACAAAAACCTCTTTAAACTATGATCTCTTGGTTGCTTGAACTTTGGATTTGTCTTGAAGTATTCTTTTGGTGTTTGGGTGTAGGCTAATCGGAATGCGTTAGTAACTTTTGATTTGTTTTAATGTCCAAGTTCTTCGACGAACAATTATTGGGTTTTGTGTAAATAAGTAGCAAGCATCTCACATTAGTAATTGTCTAGCATTAAAAAAGTTAAAATATCACTAATATGAGATTATTGGGTTTTGCTATGTCTCTATCTTTATGTGTGTATACGATCTTGAATATTTAGATTTGACTCATGACTTGGCTTTTCTTTTAAATGATTTACAAAATGCTCATTCTGGGTCATAGATTGCGATTATAACATATTTTCCTTTTAATACAGACACTGTATGTCTGAAAGGAGAAGTTTGGTTCTTGTATTTAAATGTACACTTTAAAATATTTTTGAATGATCACTGAGTTGTAACATATTGCACTCTAGTTGCTACCATGTTTTCGCTCGATGCCCATTTGTGTAGTTTGATAGGTTATAATTTATTGCAGGGCTACTTCTTAATAGTGTATTTGTCATTTTATGAAGGGTTCTTGTTCCGGATGCTTGTATATCGAGCTTGACATTATTTGATGTGGTAGACGTAATGGCCATTAATTTTAACTACACATTCAAATCAATGGTTATATTTTGTACACGTAGGAGTGTCAAACTTAATGTACTTGTACGAATACATTAATTCTAAAACAGAATGAGGAGTTTGTACATGAATCGCGCCTGACTGACAATTCTAGTTGATATTTTACCTCTTTACACTGGTGTGGCGTTGCCCTACAGAGCAGATGCAAAAGTTTAATAGAGGCTTCATTAACGTTAGTTGAAATTCTCAGGGTTCCATTATCTGTCTGTGAATGCGATTACGGAGCATGCAAATCTATTCTCACCCATCGCCATGACATTTATTCTCGAATTTTAATGTTACTCTTGTAAATTGATGGGAAAAATACATAATTATCATATTTTTAAGTTACGCTTTGAAATTGGAGATATTTGATGAAATCTTTCAAAAATGAGGTCATAACAATGTGATTTTTGATTAAATTGTGACAATTCAATTAAAAAGTTTGAGATAACAATGTGATTTTTGATTAAATTGTGACAATTCAATTGAACAGTTTAAGGTCACAATAATCCACAATTTACTATCATGATCATATACAAATTACAAATTTCACATGGTTGCGATAACAAATACAAATTTTGGGTAACAATTAAGTCGTAAAGTTGGTAACAAATTACAATTTAGTCATAAGTTACCCAATTAAATGGTCGCAGTTGCTCAATTAAGTAGTCACAAATCACTCTACATTTCATTCCACCCAACCGCAATACCACTCTACCGTAGTCGGCACCATTCTAATTGTTGTTGTCGCCTCAAATTTATAACCTGTCATTATCATTATCGCAATCATAACTATCACCTTCACTTCCATCGCACCACCACCTACACCTTATCCACAACCAAGAAAACACAATTTTTACAACGAATCTTCACTGTGTCAAGGCTCAGAACTATATAACCTCTCCAAGGAATGTTTCCATGAGTGATTAAATCAGCCAATTAATCTATTTTCAAAAGAAGTCTGGATACAATTTTTGACGAAAAAGCTCTAAGATGGGTGGAGTCATGGAGCGATGCTGCCATAGATCACCGTCTGAAGACTTAAATTCGTCAACTTCATACCACAATAAAGGTAGTTTGAAAATGCCAAGATCCAAGATTCAAAAATGGGTTGATTAATTAGGGTTTGATTTCAGATGACAATAGGAGGAAAGAATCGGTAAAAAGGTTATTATCAAAGTTGGTCAAGAGAATTAAGAATTTAGTTTAGTTGATCATCGGTTAAAGCGGTTAATAGCGTCACTTTTGCGTTGAATATAGAGAGGGAGAGAGTGACTTTGAATTTTTTAAAATGTTACCGGATTATCGAAAGAAAAATATTTGTATCTATTCCTGAATTTAAAAAAACTGATTTTTGCAATTGAAATTTAAATGTAGGGTTTAAGTTCGTTTTGTCAATTGAAAGTCCAACAAATTGAGAAAACAAATAAAATCACAATTCTGAAGGCTAAAAGCCCAAAGGACAGAACCCAAACTTTGGCCTTCCAAAGAAAAGATCGGCCCATCCTTCCCCAAACAAAATGTACACAGCCAACCCCAAATTACCAGCAAAAACGAAGCACGAATTTTCTGGAGAGGGAGAGAGCAAAAGAGAGGGGGAGAGACAAGAAAATAAAACACAAAAACGTGCAATCCCTTGAAAATCCGATAGCACTCCAAAATGAGTACCATGAAATTTTGTCGGGAATGGTATGTCATTGCTTTCTTCATACGCATTTTATGAGTGCGAGTGTGAGTGGGTGTTTGTGTTTGTACTGTGAATTCCAGGGTTTTGCTATTATAATTGTTATTTGTTGATTTTAACTGGGAAGTTACCTCTGAGTATCTATTTTGACGTGTTTATATATATATGCAGTAACAATATATTGTACCCAAGGGAAGACAAAGAACAGAAAATCCTCCTCTATGCTTGTCGCAATTGTGATCATCAGGTCCAACTCTCTTACTATCTCTCCCAAAAGCACAAAATTTAGGTTTCCTGTGCATGTTTTTTTTTTAGCCAATCTGATTGTTTATGTGAACTTTGAGCAATACTAGACGTAGGGTTTAGGGGCTAGAACATTTTGAGACTAAGGACTTAATTGATTGATCGATGTTGGAGATATATATGACCCAACAGAGCGATTAAATGCATCTTTGGAGCGAAATTCTTTTGGAGGTAGGAGTCGAGTGGATGCACAGAAATCCAGGCTTTAATCCTTTCAATCATTCGTCAGGAAGCTGTGGAGAAAGAATCATCTTTTGAAATCTCATTTTTGAAGGCATAGGGAGGGCTGAAATTTAATTAAAATTTGTGTAATTAATTGGACCCTGAAAAACCTAACTTCTTATTGATTGTTACTGGTTTTCTTTTTCTACTTCATATAATTGTTTGTGAAAGAAAATGGTAATGTCTACTAAAGGTGGATCCTTGGGGCCTTGGGCACTCTGTCTTCAGCACGGGTGAGGTATATATAAGCTATATTGGCTGGTTTGCCCAATGCTAGTTGAAGTTATGAAATTGTTGCCAGTTACTATATATTAATTGTTCTGGTTATTTAGTGTCTTGTGTTGTCAAATAGCATAATTCTAGTGGAAATCATTTGGAAAGGATACTTCAAAAAGAAAGTCCTTTTTTCAATTTTTCATCCAAGTGAAGTGATGGATGCATCTTTCTTGTTGGTGTTTTAAATACTTTTATTACATTGAAAGACGTGTTTCTGCATTTAGCATGTTAAGATTTGTAGTGAATATTTATGCAACCTACCCTTTGTGGATTGCAAGTCCCTGGTCCCTTGTATTGTCTCACATAATACCGTCGTCTTCATAAAATATTCTCATAGAAATCATCCCAGCGAACTGAATCTTGAATGCATTTTAGTTTGCAACATAACGACTTTCTGGGTGGACAATGAAGATGAAACTTGATTGATTCTTATCAAGGGAATATACGTTTAACCGACCCTCCATCTTTTGATACAAGGAAGGTTGATACCCATGCCTTTTTGGAACAGTAAATATTTCACTACATGACCATTAGTGTCCATCTAATTGTAGGACATGCTTAGTCTCCTTCTCTTGAGTAAATCTTGAAATAATCTGATGCTAACTCTAGTTCTTTTTTCAGTGCTTTTCGCTTTGTACTCATTATGGTTGGTTTCAATTTATTTTGCCATTTTTCCGATTTCCATCGAGCAGAAGGACATCATATTTGTGTCCATGTCATACTTGGCATGATTGGGATCACATGAAGAAATAAATTTGTGCCCTGGAAACCCTTTGTATATGTTGTTTTGCTGCTCTTTGAATACATAGATACATTATGTTAAGCACTTTGCTGATTGGATGTTGATGGATTTGTTCAAAATCTCATTTAATCACAATTAATGCTTCACTTTTTCTTATCTAATTTTTTTTGTTCATAATATGTTGATTACAGTATTGTAATAAAAAAAATGCTGCACAAAAAAAAAAAAAAAATCTTGGTTTCATGCTCTGCATTTTTTTTCTTCTTACCAATTCTTTGGGATATTTAATCTACAAAATGTGCCTAGTTTCTAAAAGAATTCCTTCGTACTAACTGAAAATACAATAAATAAAACTGTAATATCTTGAAACTAACTTATTCTAGCTGGAAAACTGTAGAATTTGTGTTTTGTCCTTTTTTTTTTTTTTTAATTAGTGTGATTGTGATGTGGCTTCATAAATCGGAAAGTGTTACTTTGATTAGTTGATAAACATCCACATAAACTTTAGAAAGTACGAAAATCCATGGGCAACAATTATAAAAAGTTGCAAGAAATTTATATTACTATATTATTGTTTTGTTTAAATACGTTTCCATTAACGTAAGTCATGCCCTCCACTAAATCCTAGTCCTGGCTTTGCCCATCCCATGGGCCAAAAGATATATCTCTTTCCAGATTAGCTTCATCAAATATGTGGAGTTTGCTAAGAAAAATTAGGTTTTCCTTTTTATTTTTTTATCCTTTCATTTTGTATCGAGGACTTATGGTCCTCAACCACCTTCAAACTGTCAAAGCCTTTTGACAAACTTCATAAAAGTTCTAACCCCAATTCTTTTTTGGTGGCTTGCAGTTGTTTATTCTTGTTAATAGATTTCTTCTTTTTAGGCAAAAATGCTTTGAATGGTGGGTGGATTTCATTTAATGTTTAGTTTCCATTTCAACATTCATCCATGCAGGAGGTTGCTGATAACAATTGTGTCTACAGAAATGAAATACACCATTCTGCTGGGGAGCGCACCCAGGTCTTACAGGACGTAGCTGCAGATCCCACTCTTCCCCGTACGAAAGCAGTTCGCTGTTCCAATTGTGGTCATGGAGAAGCTGTTTTCTTTCAGGTATTATTGCTGGTCTAAATTTTATTACTGGAAGCTACAAGTTTATAAACATTGCTGCCTCTCTAAATTGCTATTATGCCAATTCTGTGATAGTTGTTAGTAGTTGGAACACAGAAGTCTCTCACAGTCTGAACACACATCAGCTCAAACTCCTAGATTTTGAATCGAGTCTCCCACAACCTGTATATAATAGTCCTTTATATATCTGACAAATTTGAGCTGACATTGTTACCGCTTTAGTGAAACTTGTTCATTTACCATTCATGGCAGATTGCAAGGTCTCTTTAAGTTACGTATTCTATTTAGATCCATTGTACATGACTACACTGGGTTAAAGGATTTTATTGATGTGCTTTTATGTGCAGGCAACTGCTAGGGGAGAAGAAGGCATGACGTTGTTCTTCGTATGCTGCAACCCAAACTGTGGACACCGCTGGAGGGATTGAAATTGTGGTCTTGAAAAGATGGAAATTGTAACCAGTGAAAGTGACTCTTGTTTTCTAAAGCAACATCTTAGAAATGTTTTGTGGATGGTTGATGGGGAATGTGAAACATTATGCACATTCTTATCATTGTTACTCCTACCTTTCTTTAAATTGAGCGTTTTCTAGGAAAGATTGCTATTCCGTCTTAAAATATTATATCAATGCACGGTAGAATGGATAACATTCAAAGTTTTTTACTTCAATTTTGTTCACTATGGTCCAGTCAAATGTACCAAACATCCCATCATAGCTGTGTACTGTTATTGACTGAAATAAGGATAGAATAGTGTGGAGAATATTTGCTTGAGCACATTTGTTTACAATTATTTGCATTATTGCCAACAAGGCGATAATGATGGAATTTTTGCAATGAAATAATCGACATATATAAAGTTATAACTAAGAAATAATGAAAAAAAGGTCGAAAAGTGGTTAACTAAAAAAATTTAGTGCTTGTTTGGTAGGGATTTTAATAATTGATTTTTTGATCGTTAGAAATAAAGTGGGTCCTACTTATAAGAGAAGAATTCAAAAATGACGGTTGAAATAGTGAAATAATGTTCAAAAAATTAATTTTAATTGGCTTAATAGCTATACCAAACAAGCTTTTAAAAAAGCTATTCCATTTAGGACATAAGACGAAGTGAATGCTAATCCATAATCAAGAAAAAAGAACAAAATTTGAGTGTATTTGAGAAATTTATGCAAATAGGAATAAATGGGTACGAATCAAATATCAATTTTTGTTAGTTTCACTTCTAGAAAAAAGTAGTTGTACTTTTTAGTGAGACAAAAAAATTTAGAGAATATTTATTTATATAGTATCAAAGAAAAATATCTCCATTAACTCAAATGAAGATTAGGTAATGCGAATATAAAAAGGGAAAAAAATGAAATCTAGAACAAAATGAAAATTAAAGGTTTTAATTTTGATACATATTTTTTTTAATAATTAAGATGGCACCAAGGAAGTTTTATTTTTAAAACTTGTTTTCTGATAACAGTATATATTATATATTAGAGAATCAATTGTCAAAATCTATTCTGATAATGTCATCTGGAAATTTGAAAAAAAATAAAATGCAGAAATCAACTGCCTTATAAAGGAAATTGCCTCTATGAAAGAAAAGAAACCCATATAATTACAGTTCTCTAATCATAAACCAGACGACAATGAATAAAAATAGTTTAGAATGACCAAAAAAATTATATTATGAGTGTTGGAGAAAAAATTGGTGCATAATTTATATTTTATTGACATATAAATTATCGAATAGAGTTTTGACTTACTTAAACCAAGATACATGCATGAAGATGAGCAAAATAAAAACTCAACGAAGCATTAGTAATATAGAAATTGAAAGTATATAGGGATGGTAAATGAGCACATCGGCTCAAGCCAAAACCCAAATTTTGGGACTTGGTTTGAGTTTAGACCGGCCCATGTGGCTCGTCAAGCCACATGGGACGACTCGTGAAAATGGCCTATGTCATAGTCTTGGCTCAGCTCTTTGCCAACCTTCAATTTTATTATTATTATTTTTTGTTTTATTAATATTTAATTTAAGATTTAAATCAATAAAGTTTATCTTATATGTAAATATACTTACCTAATTAATATTCGTAGTATACTACAACTATCTAGATTTATAATTTATTATCGTATTCATTAGTATTCTCGTCATATTTTATTGATATATATTTTAAATTTTATTGTATAGGAGTTAACAAAAATAATATTTATTATTTTGTGGTGTTGAAACTTAAAAGATATTTCTATTCCAATAATTTTAATTCTACAAATGAATATTATGATATTTATACACCCGAAAATTGTATTCTAATTCATATATTCTCGTATCTATATGAATATTTTTTTATTGTATTTTAGTCGAAAAGAAGAACTTATTTGACTTCTTTATATGAATATTTCATGATTTTTTTAAAAAAAAAAGTTTAAAAATTTGTGAGTCCGCTCAGCTTGGTGAAACCCAAGTCAAGCCTTCAAAATTCAGCCAATCTTTGGTTTGGCTTGAACTAAAAAAGCTCGAGCTTTCTTCTTTACTTTTTTTTAATTTTATTTTTTTTCTTCACTGGGACGCTAGCCAGCTCAGCCTGGCTCTAGATTAAATGAAACAAGGTATGCGGATATAAATTTTCTTAAAACATATTTCGCCTCTTGCACGAGTGCTAGTAGGAATTGACTTTTATCTCTTAAGATACAATGCTTATTCCAAAATTAGTATAGCACAATATTAAATTTGTCGGGCTAACCCAAGCTTGATCGTACTCATAAAACTCGAAAATAATTTATAAATTGTTTTGATAGAATTGGTGAAATAATGAACTAGAATCAATTATTTGGAATCGATTTGGGATCAACAAAACGGAATAAAATGGGACCAATTTATAGATTTCAATGTTTCCTATTTCAATAGTCGTCTTTGTGCACAAATCAAATCACATCATGTCAGATTGGACTGAATCGCACCCTATTTAGAGACCATCTCCTACTATTTGGATAAAATCCCCTGTCCCGACTTGGAGATAGGGTTGAAGACAGGGACGCCACATGACGCTACTCCAATAGAAGGGCGCCTACATATCGCACTTGAATAGTTGCACCCAAGAATTTTTCCATTTCACGCTTATTAAAATCATTAAGTGATTATATTAAAGTCATTAAATTTCAATGATATATAAATTGACAATATTTAACTCTAGAGTCTGAAACCTTCGTTAGTTTTTCATGTCTAAAGGATCTTTCCACAATTGTTCACAACCTTTTAATATATGTGTGTGTGTACACACACACACACACACACACATATATATATATATATACACATACACACACACACATATATGAAATGTTAAGTGTGTAGCTCAAGTTAAATATATTGCTAGCTATCAGGGATAAATGCATAACATCTGTGGCTAGTTCTACCCTCGGGAATGAATCACTTGTAAAGAATTGGAAATAAACAAATCAAGATTATGATAGAGACTATGATATTAGAATATAGGAAATGAATCTTATGATCTTCGTATTTACGTGCGTTACAATAATGTCAACTCTCTTCTATGTTGAGTCCATTCTGCCAAATTTCGATATGTACTCTTGATGTTAAAAAGTAGATCATTATGGAAACTGTACTTTGGCATATTTAGCCCCTGCTTGACGATCATTATTTTAAAACTTTTATTTTCAACCACACGTTCACATAATAATATATTATGTACGTAAATCAAAAACTTTTCTCAAAATTTTAACCATACATTCTCCTAAAAATTACTATTCCAAACATTTTTTTTAATAGTAGCCATCAAACAGGGCTTTAGTTATTCAAGCCAAGTCACATTCTGTTTGCTACAACTGACTAGCATCATGTATCCTCATCAGTGAGACTCAAGGGTCAGGATTGACTCGTGGCCCATGAAAATTGTAGCAATCTTGGCCATAGGATAGTGTACTGTTACTCCATGTTATCCTTGCCAAACTACTGTTATAGAAAAGAAATTACAATCAATACAATTCATATTTGCTAAATTTAAAGTAGTCAAAGAAGCGAGTTTATGGGACACGTTTTGAATGCTAATCCATAATCAAGAAAAGAGCAAAAATTGGTTGTATTTAAGAAATTTATGCAAATAGAAATAAATGGAAATGAATCAAATATTAATTTTTGTCAATTTCATGGGTAGAAATTTCTTTAGTTAGATGACAAAATTTGAAGACTATTTATTTATATAGGAGCAAAGAAAAATATGTTCCTTCGGGACCGTTCCTCCTACTTAGAAATTTGACAAATAATCGTGACTTTTAATTTAAGTTAATCCAACGTTCAATATTTATTTTACTAAGATTATGAGAGAGTTTGAGTCGCGACACTGGAAACACCTCTAATTTGATGTATGTATTTCCATTTAATTTTTTTTTTCATACCAATTTATATAAAACAGAGATAGTTAAGATATGAATTAGAAAGTGAATCCACCAAAAATCAAAGAACAAATACGAATGTAAACTAGTATGACACGTATTTATGGATGTGTAGTAGGAATTTAATAAGAAAAAAAATAATGAAATCTAGCTGTAAACTGAAATTTATAATTTTCATATATTTATTTTTTATTTTAGAAACAAGATAAGGCCAAATAATTTTTAAATTTTTGATACTTGTTTATGATGATAACAGAGTATTACAAGAAGTAACAAAACCTATTAATTTGAACCTAATAACTTTCTAAAGTGAATTTTTGGAATCACTTCTTCCTCAAATAATTTACTTGTCGTGCTGAAATTTATATACGAGCACCATTAAAAAGTTCATAACATTAATGTCACTAATAGTATTGAGAATCTTAACACTTGATCAATCGGGCCGGTCTCACTAAGGGACGAGTGGGATCGACTGCCCTCACTGAATATTCAAAAACTTTCAATTTGTCCTTGTTAAATTTAAATTTTCAGATTTTTTTAGTCTTTTCACAATTTATTTTAGTCAATTTTCCATCTCGCCCCCACTAAAAAATAATTCTGGATCCGCCCCTATTGATCAAGATACTCTCCATCAAAATTGAAATTTACGACCCTAGTGAAAAAAATTGAAAATTATATCTGGACTTTACCTCCAAAATTTTAAGCAAGAGGGTTAAGAAAATAAAAAGCAATTGACATATAGATCAAATCTATACTTACCATAATCTCAAAATCGTTAAACTTTCTTGCGCTTGTACTTGCCAAAATCTAAAACCTTCCTTAATTTTCCACTGTTTGACGAATCTTTTCAAAAATCTTTCACATTCCTGCTCTTAGTAGGATACTTTAAAACCTTCTATATAAGAAGACTTCAGCCCTGAAATTTCCCCGTTCAGAATCAGATTATTGCATTCATTACAACATGAAATTTCCACTTCTCATCTTTTCTAAAGAGGGAGAAAGCTGTATTTCTTTCTTCAGTTTGACAGAAAAGAGTGTTTTTCAATTGGATGTTTTACAATCCCTCAAAGATTGTCGCTGTGTAGGGTCTTCTCACGGATGGTTGGTGATTTTGAACGAGAAATCAGATCCTTTTCTTGTGGATATTGTTTCGGAGACCCGTTTTCAACTCCCCGGAAAAGAAACATTCCCCCACATTCAAGCTATTCGTGAAATAGAGAATGAAGAATTTGAAATCAAATACAAGCGTGAAAAGGATTCTTTTTGCTACTCTTTAAAGACTCTTCAAGAATGGTTAATGGTAAAAGCGATTTTATCTGGTATTCCGTCTTGTAACACGAAATACACAGTTATTACCATGTATAACTTGCACTGCAAGTCGAAGCTTGCTCTCTGTAGGCCTGGAGACAATGGATGGACTGGCCTTCTTGGGGAACATGAGTCATATGATGATATCATATGCCATGAGAATCTGCTTTGTGCATTGGGGTATGGGCCTTCGGTCGAAATATGGGACTTGAATGAATCCACTCAAAAGAGCAAGATGATTATTCAAGTTCCTTGTCCAAGAAATTTGATAGAAGCCAGAAAATTTTACCCCAGGGATCTTTATACTTCGAAATGGTATCTAGTTTCATCGTGCCAGGATTTGTTTCTTGTTATGAGGTACATCGGGGAGTTCGTTAGGTACGATGGAGAAGTCATTTATGAGGGAGATACTCTTACGGATTACACTTCTCAGCCTCTAGTATGTCCATATAAAACAGTTGGATTGAATGTCTATAAACTCGATTGTAAACAGAAAAAATGGCTGCAGGTGGAAACATTGAATGACGTTGCTCTATTCATCGGTGGAAATCACTCGGCCTCAGTTCTGGTTAAGGAGTATCCGGGTTGCAAGGCGAGTGCAATTTACTTTACTGATGATTACTGGGATAGAATGGACGAGGATATCTATTATGGAGGTCATGATATGGGAGTCTTCTTGATGAAAGATGGAAGCATTGAGCCATTCTTCGACTGCGATCAAGAGAGATTTGAACCACCACCCTTTTGGATGGTTCCTAACTAGATCGATTTTTGTAATCTCTAAGTATAGGAAAAGTACTTCAAGTCGATTATACAGGTAGGATGTGAATTTACTTCTGATTTTTCATCGCAAGTTTGGCATTGCTTTATTTTGATCTGTATGAATGGTTTTGTTCATCTGATAAGTGTAACTGTGTAAGCGTGATTTTTCAATGGAGCAGAACATTTAACATTGTATGCAGCCAAGGACTTTAATTTTTTGGTTTTGATTGATTAAAGTTTGAACATATCATGGGACAATTTATTCAGTTTGTTAAGAAAATCAAACTCTGTTAGCGTAGAACAATTCAAGAAACGCCATTTTTTTTTGTCTCAGTAATAATATTAGCAACTGTTACATTCAATAAAAGTACAGTTCTTACATAAGTATTCTAAACTATCAATAAAAGTATACTGCTCCTACCGATATGTCGGTTTCTGGTTTAGGCACCCTTTTGTTTAAAAGGTCGTTTTAGCTTTCCTGGTAGTGTAGCATGGTTTCTTTCAGTCATGTTGAAGCTTCCAGGAAGAAAGAGACAGCATTGGGATTCCCTTCCATTCCATGATCGTGAATTTTCCGTTCGTGTTTAGTGTACACGAACTCAAGCAACCAGATTTTTTAATTAACAAATTTGCTTGACACGAAGATGATTTAAGTCCTTTTTATCATTTAAATGATTAGGCCATGACAACGAGGACCACAGACACGTCTTCAAGAACACGGCCATCACTTCATCACCCTCCAACTCGAACATATCCTTCTTAACATTCTTCATTTCTAAAACCGCAATTTTAAATTATAAAGGTAAATTCATCGATTTTAGAAAAGATGAAAGCCAGTGTCTCTTGAAGCCTATATTTATAGATGTCCCAACAGCTGTTATCTTGAGAAGCTCCAACAAACAGTTTTATGGATTAGCAATATCGTGCATCACGATAGTCTAATGCTTTCAGCAGATGTACAAGACAACTTGATGTAGCACTGCAAAATGTTTTGAGTTTATCTAATTTCGTCCGCCTCCTCTGAAACGCTTAAGTCGGCTTGAATACTGGTTCAAAATTTTGAAAGATGCTCAAGGATTGCAAGGAATTTCTTTCTTTCCTTCCAACAAGATAAGAAATTCCAGCCCCCTTTTTTGCCTCTACAGAGTAACACTCTCCATTCAAAAGGTTTCCCATCCACTTGTGATGGCGTTGAAGAACGGCTGAAAATTAGCAGAAGCAACCTTATAAAACCATTGAAATTGCTGGTAGAAGCAGCTACAATGTATATATTGTGCACAATATATTCCTACAGTAAAACAAGATAAAAATCTGGTTCATCGTAGTGTCGTACCTACCTTTCTGAAATCGATCAATTTAGGAGACATGAGCTGTAATCTAGGATTAGTAGACACAAAGTAAATAAGACTAACTTTTTCCGTTTTCCAGGGGTTGTTTTATAGTATTTTTTGATAACTAACTAAATGGAAAGACTCAAGATCAAGTACTAAAAGAAAAACCTAACTGTTCTTGTTTGATGTGAACATTCTGATGTAACCTGTTTGTACTGAAAAATTATAACACGAGGGAACGAGATTTATCACTCTAGTCGATGCGCTACTTACATTGGAAGTCTCGTACTGAAATTAGGACGCAACGGGATTACTCATGTACCCTAGCCAATTATCCGTATATATTATCCTGTAGAGTTCATCTTCCAAAACGAGCCATAATAGCTCTGGCCTTCCAGCCAGACGGCCTTAGTGATAAAATGATCATCCAAAGGCAAATGAACAAATCCAGTAACATTCAGAATGAATTCCAACTGTATTTTTATTTAAGCGAAACGATTAACAAGCATCCTCTGCCAGCAATATACAGACATAAGTCCAACCACAAGCTGCATTACAGACAACAGTTATACTAAGATCAAAGAGTTCCAAAAACAACGTTAATAAGCTCTTGCTGATAATGCACAGGCCTAATCATGGATCTTCACAACGGTAACCGGGCAAGTAGCATTGTTGACTACATAGGTACTCACACTGCCCATAATAACCCTGCAAAATTAAGTGAAATAAACCAAATATCTATTAGTTCTAAAGCCGACACATGCCACAAGTGTCACATGCTATAGTCTATGACTTGAATAAAAAAAACCTAAGATATGAAATTTTAACGAATACCAATCTTTGACAAGGTTGGACACAAATGGTGAAGTACAGGATGATAAAAGTTCCTAACAAAAGGCTCGAAACAGAGACAGTGTTGGCCTTTTTATGCCATATTGAACAGCACTAGACAAAATAAAGAAAGTAAAAGAACTTAAAAAATCTTTTCTGTCGTCCTGTGCAACATTGCCCTTATAATTTATGCTAGTATTTACATGAATAAGGGGACCTTTACTTGATCAATCAATAGGCACACAAAAATCTTAGGGCTTTATTAACTATAATGATTCAATAGAACCCGTAGAGCCATTTAAAAGTATAAAGTAATCTCTCCAGGATCACAATGTCTCAACATATGAGTCAAGGAAATGACTACTAGAAGACTAAAAAGGAATCGAACCTCTTGATTTTGCCAAGGCCTCTGTTTCCAATAACAAGGCAGTCGAGGGGAATCTTATCAATAGATTCACATATCTTCTCTCGAGCATCTCCCCAATAAATTTTCAGGAGCACAGTTATCTGCATCATTAAAATCTATAAGTATTGCAATTTGTAAAAGGGGAACGGCATCGGCATGTTTGATAAGGTAGATTGCACAACATCCCATTGTATTAAGAATGCGAAAAAGGCTAAAATCTTGTTCATTGTATTGTCCACATCTGCTAGTTTTGTCATGAAGACTGTAAACATCAAAATTACCTCTTTTTGCCTAGATGCAGTAGCAACAATGTCCAATGTTTCAGGGTTGGGATTAACCCCATATTTCTTCATGATATGGGGCTCCATGAACTCGATCAAAGGAATCAAAGCTAAAAAATCACAAAAACAAATACATCGGTTAATAACCACACAAATAAACAAGACTCTACATCTAAGTTATGATATACTTCAATGATATAAAAAATGATTGCAACAAATCCATTTCAGTTGTCCATACGACACTCATTTGATCAGAACTCCAAAACTTAATTTACAATATTTAATGCCCCTTGAATACTAAAATCTAGATTAAGAATCAAGAAATAAGAACAATTTAGCCGGAGAAAAAAAGGAAAAAAGGTTTGTACCCAAAACAAAAAAAAAATAAAAAATAAAAATGAAAAAAATGAAAGAAAGTAAAAAGAACCATTATTGAGCTCAATTATTGAATTCCACCTTTTTATCAGCAAGAACACAATTTCAACAAATCAATCATCTTATAAGTCAATTAGTCGATCAAAATATACAAGCATATATCAATTGAACTCCAATGAAGTTGATCGGCGTAAAATCACCCATAAGAAAATACATATTAGTAAAAAACTGATGTGCAAGTAAAAAACAACGAATAAATCCATCATATATAGAGATAAAAAAGCTAGAATTCTTACGAGAACCCGTGGCTTCCCAGAGCTGCATCTCGCCTTCCTCGTAATGGCCTTCGTGTTGGACTGTAACCAGAATCAGGTGATCTCCCTTTCTCACAATGTTATTCACTGCCCATTCAAGCGCCTTCCTGCTGCACGGTGAGAAGTCAACGGCCACACCCACTCTCCTGCAATCTCCCATCTATTTCTCTCTCTACAACCTCTCTTTCTCTCACTATATCGATGTTTAGTGTGCGCATGCGAGACACAGATGAATATAGCAAAGGAAAAAAAGCACTGGGTGCGCTAAAAGCCAGTAGATGGCAACGAGCCGGCTCGGCCCTTAAACACAGGAGCTCGGCTCGGCCCCCAAGTTCGATTTCATTTTTCTTATTGTTGTAAATTTTCAAATTTTTCTTCACATTTTTTATGAGTTCATGGGCTTGTGAACTTGGCCCACGAGCCGCTCGCGTACTCGAAGAGTCAAGCCTTGTTCGGTTCGTTGGATTCGAGCACCGCTCGGCTCGTGCTCGAGTTTGGACCATGAGCCGTTTGCGAGCTCGATGATGCAAGCCTTGTTCAGCTCGTTGGATTCGACTGCTTCTCGGCTCGTGCTCGAAGTCATCATTTTTATAGCCCAAATCGCTCAAAAGCCGAGCTTTAAGGGCATCTCCAATGCATGTCCTATTGCACCAAATTCCACCAAAATTTGGTGCAAACTTCTTCCAAACATTGCACTAAATTTTGGTGCAAAATAGTGCAACATGAATAATGTTACACCAAATATGGTGTAACACCATTCATTACACCATTTTTTGCACCAAATGATGTAATATCCATTTTAACCTTATTTTTCATTTTTCAAAGATAATGATTAAGAGTATTTGTGTCATTTTTGTTATATGATGATGATGATAATTACTTACACTATTAATTATATTATTAAAGTTTATTATTTTTAATAATATAATCAATAATAATTAACGTAATTGTTAATTTAACATAAAGTTTACGTTTAAAGTTTAATTTAATGTAAAGTTTATATTATTAAAGTTTATTATTTTTGTAAATTTAACGTAATTGTTTATCATAAATTAATAATATGATCAATTATTTTTGTCAATTTAACATAATATATAAAACACGTGAATAATTTAGTAATCAATATATTTGTTAATTTAACAAAGTTATGATTTAGTAATTTATATAGTTATAAAATAAATAAATAATTTTTTAAAATAAATACATTGTCAAAAATCGAAAGAATGAATAAGATAATAAAGCACTGTTTATTTGGTGTAATTGTTGGAGAAGAATTTTGATTTGGTGCAAATTTTGGTACAACAATGGGGATGGCCTAATGAACCAGAGCGGCCATTTGACATCCCCAGACTAGTCAAAGAGATTTATGATCAGTAAGGTAATTTTAATTTCAACCTTGCTCCCTGTACCTACCGAACACTCACATTCAAAGGTGGGAATTTTTTTTGCCAATATTTTATACACTGGCCCACTCTCATGTGAGTGAGAATTCAAAAATTTGGCAAAAATTTTCTGTACTTGAAGAATTTTTGTTTTAATTTAAACCGTCAGATTATTTTGTGATTATTGTGTAACTAATATCTAACGGTGAAGGAAAGGGATAGAGGATAAATTTACCGTGTTCGAATGTATACAGAAGTGTTTCTGTTGTCTTTGCTGTGATTAAGGAATAAAAGCAGTGGGATTGGAAAATCAACTAATAATGTTTTCGATTGAGGTACAATACTTTTTACATATTACACAAAAGGCCTCAGCCTACAACTTTATTTACATATTTGGTACAATACTGATTTGTCTTATATGCTACTCTATCCAACATTTTTTACTAAACATGGCCGAGTGTAGCCTGTTTGGTGTAGTTAAAATCAAATTTTTAGTAAATTTTGGTAAAAATTGATAAAATTTGTTGTTGACAATATGTAAATTCGATAAATGTATGATTAAAATTAATTTTTGATTTAAAATTTTAACAAAATTTTAAGCTGCGCCAAACCAAGACTAGGTTAGTTGGACTCTTTTAGAGAGCAAATAGAAAAAGGAAGAAATTATGTAGGTTAGTTTGACTCTTTTAGAAAGCAAATAGAAAAACAAAGAAATTATGTATTTTTGATTTGTCTTTATTGCTTTCACTGCAAAGTAAAGCTAATGGCGACTTTTGATTTGATTGATTAATGTGTTAGTTTTTTTTTTTTTTGGCTCATATATCAAATTACTAATCATTACATGTATACCACGTAAAACGATTGCGGTGATTAGTCGTAAATAACATTATTCTTCACTATAACTACAAAACTAAATTCAACATAGTATGAAAAACACAAACGTGCAATTCAACAAACTCATGGATTCCACAGAATAACTTGAAGAAAGCTCCAGAACTCAGTGTTTATTCAATAATCAATTGGCTTCTAACAAACCCAACTTTAGAATGTAAAGGAAAACAATTATAAATAATAAAGATTAAATATGAAAAAAATAAAAATAACAACAAACATAGTTGAAATAGTTGAGTCACAAGCCTCGACGACCCTAGTCACGTCATAACATCCTATTCATCTTCAGGTGGTCTAGTCGACACAACATCTTTCGTTATACAAGCCATGAAAAAAATTATAAATATCAATGAAAATGGTGCAGCAAAAATGCAACTATTGAGAAAAATATTGCTATGAAAAAGAAAACCAGTAACATGATCGCCAGAATGAACCCTAAAACTCCCAATTCACGTCTGTAGTTAATATCCCTCATAGCCTGCAGCTGACACCGAGTTTTTCTTCTGCTCTTTTGATGGTCATTAATTTGCCTACAAATTTCTCCATAGTAAAAATCCGTCACATTAATCTCAACGTGCAGTTTCTTCATCAAATCAAGTATTTCTCCATCTCTTTCATGACTACCATCAATTAGAATTCTTTTACTGCGAAGTATTCGTGCATCGTTTACATTCTGGATTAAGCTTGCCATGAAAATGGCGTATGATGTGATCGTCTTTGAACATTGGTGGTGGCTACGCTCCAATGCTATCAGGTTTCTGAACAAAATTTCTGTATATCCATTGACTTTAAAAGGTGGGATTTGGAGTTCTTTATTGATTAATCTCACGTTCAAAGGGACTTCATTGGCTGCCCTTCTAAGTCTTATCCCAGCTAACTGAAAGGTAAAAACACTGTTAAAGCATCTTGCCTAAGCTCAAATAAAATAAAAATATTACTTTTCTGTTAAGTAAGTAAAGACAGTAAGATAATAGTATCTTAGTTGAAGCAAGGTGACTATAGGTACTTGTTAACTTCAACCTGAAGTCCTGTAGCGCCGCTGAGTAAACTTTTCTGACCACCAGTGGATCGCGTTCGAGGCATTGTCGGAAGATATTGCTGGCGGATTAGGTCGAGCAAGTTATGAATTTCGGGACCAAATTTGTCTTGAGGAATTTGTCCATCCCCTGAGAGCAGTTTTCTGAAGAAACACAGGGCAAGTTCCATGAGAGACATGTTGCTACATTGCTTAATTACAACAATGTAAAACAACTTCTGAAGAACCCAAAAGGGAATTTGATTTTCGAGTAAAATCATATCGCATCTTAACCAGAACATTTTACTGTCTGTGCTGAAGAAAATTGGATCATCCCTACGCCTCAGATTCTTCATCGAATACTCAAGAAATAGCTCGATTATGAAACAACCATCGACTAACATAATTTCAACAAATTTATCGCTCTCCATGTTGACTAATTCACCATAGAATTTTCTAGCCTTTTGTTCAGAATGTTTAAGCGTCTTGACACAAGTGTCAAGAATTGTTTCTTCATTAGGGTTTCGATTCAGCAGTGTGTTGAAATATTGCCACTTTAGATCTTCCATGACGTTAAGGTTGTTTTTGCCATGGTGAAAAGGTCCGATTGACAGCAAACTGGGCGAATATTTTTCTTGATTTCCTTCAGAAATTTCTTCAGAAATCCTGCAAACAGAATGCAACAAAGAAAATTTTTCCATTTTTTCCTTGATCGAGTGTACAAGATCATGCTCATGACCAATTTCGATGGCTACATGATCTAGTTTTTCAGTTTGACCAAGTCCTTCCATTTTCTTTGCAAGTAATGTCTGTCGAAGATATAAATACAAATAAATAAATTAGTACCTTCCCGACTATGCCCCAATTTGGGTCTTATTTTTTCACCCAAAAAAATCAATTTTTTGACCATTACTTTCCTAAGTCAACCATTATTTTTGACTTTTTTCACTCACATATGTGATCCATTTTTCTTTTTAATGGTCAAAAAATTGATTATCATAATTGCTATCGAACAGACCCTATGTATACTGAGGGATTTTGAAGAGAAGACAAAAAAACCTGCTCAAGTTGCAAATTTGAGTGGCAATTGCGAGGATCTTCTACTATAAGATTGACGAAAACAGAAGATTGACTTACTCTGAGGGCGAGGCACCGAGGCCAACCGATAGGCTGCTTTCAATGCAACGAGCGATCTTTAGAAAAATAGTTTTGGAGATAAGTTAACGTGGAGAGTGTCATGCATGATATTTACAGTGATAATCATTAAAAATTTACAGCTAAATTGAACTTGTTACCTCTTTGAAGTACTAAATATGTAATATCATCTTCAATGCTGGAACTGAGACACGGCATAGATTCGATTTGCTGGGATTGTCAATTGTGATTCTGAACAATTTAAAACCCACAAACAGTGATGAGAATCATAGGTGACTTGGTACGTTTACCAACAGATTCATTAACTAAAACAGTCTGAAGAGAATTTGTCTTCAGGCAGAAAGCAAAGTGTTAGTGCAAAGTAAATTTAAAATAGTTTGCTTTTTTGTAAATTTAAGAATTAACTAAAGCGATGAGAATCAAAGGTGACTTGGTAAGTTTAGCAAAAGATTTATTAACTAAAGCAGTCTGAAGAGAATTTGTCTTCAAACAGAAAGCAAAGAACAAAGTAAATTTTTTAATAGTTTGCTTTTTTGTAAATTTAAGAATTAACTAAAGTGTCACAATAGCTTTTAAGTGGAAGTGCTTTAATGTGATGCAGACGTATTCTTACCTACTTAGTTGGCTTGATTTTTGTTATTCTAAGAGTGAAGAGAATTTCACCAAAATGAAGCAAAGAACATCACTTTCTTTTGTTTTTAATTTTTCTGTGAAATTCGTGATGCCAAATAAACATAAAATAATATTAGGGTCCGTTTGGTTGCAAAGATGGAATTGAATTGCATAGAAAACGAGTTACAAGGAATTGAATTGCCTAAAATTGTTTTACTGAAAATTGTAAATTATTGTGTTTGACTGATATAATTTTTCACGTGAAAAATGTTGAAATAAAAGTGTTTTTTGATATTCGTTTGACTTTGTTTTGTAAGAAAATTGTTGATTAAAAGATAGAATTTACTCGTATTGGGGATGACATTGGTTTCCATCGCCAAAAAGCAAAAAAATAATAATAATAATAAATAATAAATTCAAGAAAATCGTCTATTTTTTAGTGTTCGTCTGATTTTATTTTACATGAAAATTATTAATGAAAGAGAAATATTTTTTTACAATAATTCTTAGAATTTGTTTACATTGCCTAAAAAAAATGAAAAAAAATTACTACAGTAGCTGGGATTCCAATCAAGGAATAGCACAACTTCCAATAAACGCTAGAAACCAATTCTATAGAAAATCTTGTGAATCAAACACAACATTTTGGATGAAAAATGGGATTTTCCACCCATTTCCATGGACTTGGGTGAATCAAACACTACCTTACCCCCCGTTTGGTCTCCCATTTTCAAAAAATGAAAATGGGTGGAATAGTGTTTTTTGAAAATTAAGTGTTGAAAAAAAAGAAAAAAATTTCGATGTACGCGTAATATTATTTTTATGAAAGATTGTGTAATTGAAAATAAGAGAGAGAAATGGAATGTAATACAATGAAATTTAATAGAGGCCAAACGGGACCTTAATGTGAAATTCTGAAATTTAATCTACTCTATTCACATAACTCAGTTGATCATTTCTACTTTCCTACCACCCACTCTCCACTGGCATTTTTGCAAACATGTGGTGGGCAAAACAGTTGGGATTTTCATTTACATAACACCAGAGATTTGTTGGATCAAGTGTCATAGATTCACCCTCGGAAAATTCATCCTTTCCTTCCTCTTTTTCTTCTTGAACAATTGATTGCCGCAATGGAAAAAACCAAAATAATTGAAGCAGCTTCAATTCAATTTCTTCTACAAAATAATGGAGAATGGTTCTAGCCACACAAAAAACCGTTGTGATTTAAATTTTTTTTTTTCATTTTTTTTTTAAAAGAAAGATAAAAATTAAAATTTATGAAGAATTCAGTAAAGAGGGATGTAAAAGAGACATAAGATTGGACTATGTTATTTTGTAAGAGCTAATATTGAACATATCATTAATTAAATTAATGTAATTTTGTATATATTAAAAAATTTAATTATAATACGGAACCGAACCGAATGGAACCGAACCCGAAAGGTTCCATAATTAAATTTGGACCCGATGGTTCCACTTACTAAATACCCGAAAATTTCGAGTCGGTTTGGTTCTCGTTAGAATCGAATCGGACCATGTCCAGCTCTAATTTTCTGACACATCAGTCTATCTCATCATTCTTTGTTTTTAAGTTTGGTTAAGTTGCTTTATTCTACTTCCAAATGAGTTGTCAATCTAAAACATACACGTCTTCCAAATTCCATTCCTATATTCTAGAATTTCTTGAAATGGCCTATAAATGCAATAAGCGGGCCAAGTTTTTGAGTGGAAGGTGGCAAACGGATGATACGAATTCCAAAGATGATCAAGATTGGTCCAGTGGGAAGCCAATACGGAGATGAGTGGGATGAGAGGGGAAAAAGTGAAATAGTTCATATATTTATTTCACACGACGATAAAATAAATTCAATTCAATTCCAGTATTATGAGAATGGTACTTTGGCCCTCTCTGATTCCTATGGTCGAACCACTGGATACAAATTTGATGATGTAAGTTTCTCTATTTTTCATTCATTAAATTTCATTTATTTAGAAATCAGTTGACTTCCTTTTTCGTTTTCCTTGAAATAGCTACTTTATTGTAGAGGTCTATTCCGAGGGAAATGAAATTCATGAAATTTGATCAATATAATTATAAAAAACTATTTAGCATTATTTGGATTTTAAAAATAACAAATCGATCAAACTAAAATTTTAACTCAAATAAAGTTATTCGTATGGCAAAAAACAGCTTAATTACCTGTTAATTTTTTTTAGCACAGAGTTTAAACCTAACCCACAATTCCAATTTATTCAAATTTTGAATTCTTTTAAAAACTAAAAATTAGTACTTGATTTGTACAAATGTGTTAAAATAATTTACGATGCAGGTGAAGTTGGATCATCCTAGGGAATACATAACCTGGGTTAGTGGTTACAAGAGTTCCAACAGTGGTCATTTAATTTCGATCGCATTTGGCACCAACTATGAAACATATGGACCGTTTGGTCGGTTCACTGCCCACGATAAAGAGGTCGCCTTCAAGCTAGGAGATGACCGGCAGTTTGGTGGTTTTCACGGAACCGCAGACGATAATTGTGTGAGATCAATCGGAGTTTACCTTAAGCCGATGACAATCCTGGACTCTGTCCTGGAACGGACCAAGAGTTTAAACCTAACCCAGCCTCCAGCTAGGTGCGAAATACGTAAATTCATGTAAGACTTATGAATGAAACGATATAAATTATATTGAAATATTTATCGTGTAAAAATAATAATTAATTGAATTTTTTAAAAGAAAAAACGAGTTAGACTTCTTTTTTGAGGTGTACGTTTGATACATATTTTATTTATTTTCGATATTTGTTTGGACCATTCGATATGAATACGATGTAGTTTTCGAAACAAACTTTTACACGACATAGACCATTTGTAGATTCAGATAGCACATGATCGCAAACGAATTTTTAAAGTTAAGATATTATCGAAATTCTCAAAATACTAATTTCAAATGCCCTACTTTAATATGTCATAACTTTTGCTATAGTTAACACTTCGCATACCATTAATGAGTAAAAAACTAGGCCATAAGCATTTCGAAATTGTATTAAAAATGTAATATTTTGACTTCATTTGACATCCTAACGAGTGCATCAAAGTAAATTGTTAAAAAAAAAAAAAGGCAAAATTTTGTGTGGGCATTTGACCCCACATGACCCATGTGGGTCCGCCCTTGACTCCGGCCATCAGATGCCCCCCGGGATGATATGATGAGTTAAAGGCGCACAATCTCTATACGAATTGAACACTTTGTTCTTGATTTTTGAATGATTACATTTGATCGGAGAAAATATAGATTTATATTTTTAAAAAAATTCTTCATTAATATTTTGCTATTATTGTCATCCATTTGATCTTGATCGATATTTTATTAAGATTTTACTGATCATAAAAAAATGCATATTTATATTTAAAAAATTTATAGTGTATTTCATACAAACAAACAATTCAATTAATTGAAAGGAAAAACATATAACTAATATTTAATACTAATAATCAATCAAATAAACACAATTCGTTAAATATAAGTTAAATTGAATATAATCAGTTCAGACATTTTTTATATACACAAATAGGATATGAGAAAATGAAAATTTAGGTTTTAATTAATTGAAAATTTGTAATAGATGAGATAATTTGTAAAGAAATTATAGGCAAATTTTAAAAAATCAAAAGGGTTTAGGTTTTGGTAAAAGTTAGGGATGTCAACGAATCAAGCTGAAACTCAATGTTTGAGCTCGGCTCGAGTAAAATGAAATGAGCTTTTTTCGAGCCTGAGCTGAGCTTTTGCTCGGCAAAAAATAAAAAGACTCGATCTGAGCTTTCGGCTTGACCTTAGCGAGTCAAGCCGAGCTCAAGCCGGATCGGCTCGGTTCTCTCTCTCTCTCTTTTTGTTTAATAAATATAAACAATGGCTCAAAGGCAGCAGGCCTGCTGCCATCCTTTCTTTTCTTTTTTTCATGGTTTTTTTTAAATAAGGCCCGAGCCTAAGCCGGCGAGCCACACAGGCCAGTTCGGGCTAAGTCCAAAACCTCAAAATGGGGTTTGACCTGAGTTTTGGCTGGGTTCCACCGAGCCTCGAACCGAGTGAGTCGGTAAGCCCAATTGACATCCCTAGTAAAAGTTGTGAGGGAGAGAGTAAGATATAGCAAAAGAAAAGAGGAAAAAATCAAATTGGATTGAAATCGGATATTTAGTCAATTTTGATAAAAAGCTAAAATGTTAAAGACTCCATGAAATCGAATTTTTAGTCAATTTTGATAAAAAAAAAAAAAAAAAAAAAAAAAAAAAATTAATTTTTAACTTTGTTTTAAATTAAAATTTATATTTCTAATGTGCGACCGCCCGTCGAGGTGGCTCCTCGACAGTGAGCAATCGCACCACGTGGACGGTGCGACCGTCTCACTGAAAATTTTCTCATGAGGGTGATACCAACTAGGAAATTTTAAATGCCCCTCCAAGGATAGTCTTTTTTTTTTTTTTTTTTAATCCCAATTAATAATGTCAAAGCAAAACCAAATTTTGTGTTTAATATATGTATAATTTATATTGAACTCATTTCATAAGTCATTAACCTTTAAATGGAGTTTATTGATAATCTTTCATTGTAGTTGCATAATTAATCCTTGAAATTGAAACCATCCAAATTTTCAGTACATATATTGTCACGTGGCCCTTTTCACATCAAATGTCTTGGTATCGAATTGAATTGAAAAAATAAATTTAGCTTCGAAAAGTTAATATATGAGGATGATGTCGCAATTTAACGTATATTTTGAAGGCTTCATCATTAGCAACTGATTGTAAAGGTGCCGGCATAACTATAATGAAAGATTGTTGACCAGAGGGCTACATTTTGAACATTGTACACCAACTTGCTACTCATACAATTGATTAAGGACCAATAGTGCACATTTTCCTAAAATTTTTAAGAAGTATAATACGTCGAAGTAGAGTTGATATTATAACCT